GTCGCGACGTATAATTCGCAAAACAGTTCGCCAACTGAATAAGTAGCATTAAGGGAGGATAAGGCGCGCGTTTATCCTCGCCGCGTTGAAAAATAAGGCGCGAGAATCCGTGGTAACCACGTTGGTTAGAATCAAAGTTGGAGAAGAATTTCAGGTACAATCTGCCGTCGCTGTGCAACGGTAATGCCGTGCAGCGGAGAGCTAAGTATCTTGTAATCCCTCGCTTAAGATCAGGAACTTCCGGACGCTAAATGCGACTTACCGTTAGCGGCGGCTTTAACGTCATGTGAAAATTATAAGAGGTACTTCGATGGCGCGTAAGATAAGCGCCGCCGCGGAAGAAAAGCCCTGAAGCGTGGAATTTAGGACGCGGAGAACTTAAACGCGAAGAATCATATATTCAATCTATATATCAGTGGATCGATGCGTGCCGTCACATACAGGGCGTACCTGGCATCACGCGCTTACCACATATCTCTCTCCAGTGAATTTAAAATTTGATTTCAATTTAGCCAAGTTTTCCGTTATGACGTAGTCTCTCCGTATATATCTAATTTTTAATATTATCATTATATATATATATATATATATATATATAATTTTTGTAGGCGTAATAAAGTGGAAATGATCGGCGGTCCAAAAGGTACTGAACACGAGGATTATTGTCGCCGAATAGAGAATTTATTTTACGAGAATCTTGAAGAAATCAAACTAGTTCGCGATAACATTCTGGACGTTACAAATTCCACATGGCTAAAAAACATGCAGAAGTTTAGAGATTCCGTGACAGATTTGGAGAATATGGTTGTAAACCTAATCGATCGAATATTTGAAGAAGTCCAAACGATCGAGGAGGGTATCGAGGCTATTTATGCTTTGCAACGCTTTAAATATAGAGCATCCTTGCAAGATACATTATCAACAAAATGGGTACAGGTGAGAAAAGAGTTTCTCATACAAAAGAAAGTAAAGATAAGAATGCAAAACTTTTATCTATTCTGTAATAAAAAAATGCGAATAAATATATAATAATATAATAAATATTTAATGTAGATAATAATAAAAATAATATGTAATACAATTATAATATATTTAATATAGATGTGTGAATTTTCTAGGTATGGAAGATGTTTGGTAAAGAAATCGAAAGTTGCAGCAACAGCATGACTCGGCATAATGTGTATCATCCATTGCTTCAACATCACACGGAAAATTCAATTACGTTGTGCATTAGTAAATATTTAGAACGATTATACCACATGATGATCGATGCGTCTGACTGGATAGGAGAATGTACAGCCCAAAAGTAAAAATCAATCTATCTATAATCTGACATTTTTTTCTATATATTCTAAGCAGCAAAGCTTTTACTATTTTAGAGTTATTTCTTTGTTCTAAAATTTTCTTTCATAATTTATATTCTTATTTTAATGACGCGTATGCGTAATAAAAATATTTTATTAAATATTCTATTTAAGCATTCTGCTTTTCACTCGATCTTTTTTACTTTCATCACGTGACAAATTAAATATATAATAATTTAAGAAAACAATATAAAAAGGAAAATTTTAATAATTAAGAAATCTGAGAGTAATACACGGGGATTTCGGCTGCATATATCTAATCTAAAATTATGAAAATATTTGCAATTTTTATCGTACAATTTTAAGGGATATATTGAAAAACAGAATTACTAAAACATATTTACTTTATAGTGAATTATACATATAACAATATTAACCATTATTAAGATAAGATGTATATATTTTGCAGGTACATATTGGAACAATATAAGAAAGTGAAAAGTTCCATCGATAATAAGATGGAGCATAATCCAAACTAAAAAAATAGTTATAGTTTTTCTAAAAATATATTATTTAAAAAGAAATTATATTAAAAGTGTTAAAAAATATCATAATATAATAAATATATGTATTATAAAAGATATCAGAAATTTCTATTATGATTCTAAGATTATATTGTCATAAGTTAAATTAACAATAAGATAAAGATGCCAAATTGCTAGCAAGAGCTGAGGAAATCTGTTGCCAATCTGCTGGCATATTGCGCGCATTTTGCTTACTGGGTCATAAGTTAAATTAACAATAAGATAAAATAGTATATATATTATGTAATTATGTGTATAATATATATGTTATACTATTATCATACATAAATACTGATTACTTCTAGAACAAATATTATAGAATATTAAAATAAATATTAGAATATTAATTCTGTTTATAATATATGTTACAAAAAGTGATATTTAAATATTAAACCTAAATGTAAAGTTGTTTATTCAATTAAAATTGAAAATATAAGAAGAATGCATTTGCTCAATGAGCAGACAATATTTTTTAATGCATTTTTAATATTTATTGTTCATTAATTGTACATTGTACAATTGATTGCAAAAATAATAAATTTAATGTTTATTAATTATTTATTTTACATGAAATATTTATTTGAAATAGCAATTGTTAATAATATAATATTAACGAATGATGAAACGGGCAACTAAGAGCCGATGCGCTGGGCGCCAAATTGTATAATTCCGTGAATCTCATGTGAATTATATTTATTAAACGTTTCGGTCCGAAATTTGGACCATTTTCAGTAATTAAAGACGGCCCCCTCCTCCATGCTTAACGTCGTGCTTAAAACTTTTAACTCGCTTCACCCGAGATTACAATTCACGTTGGAGGAGGGAGTCAATAATCGACTAAATTTCCTCGATGTCACCATTGTTACTAATAATGGTGTGGTCGAGTTTGATTGGTTTCACAAACCTACATTTTCAGGGAGATATCTCAACTTTGAATCACAACATCCATTTTGTCATAAAAAAGGCACGATCATTAGTCTTGTGGACAGAGCCTTTCATTTGTCTCATCCAAGATATCATAAGAAAAACTTTGAGTTCGTAATCAACACCCTATTAGAAAACGGATATCCGTTGACTTTGATTTTTAATGTAATCAACGAGCGCTTGAAGAAACTTTTTTTAAAAAATCATGATAATCATTTTAACTCTCATAACAATGACACAAACAATGACGAAAAATGCTCCTATTTTAATATTCCATACGTGGCTGGTGTCGCAGATCAATTTAAACTTGTGACAAAAACCTCAAACATTAAACTTTCATACACAGGGATTAATAATCTTAAACGTTTTATAAAAGTACATAAGGACAAATTAGTCACAGAATCACGTAATAATGTAGTATATAAAATTTCCTGTAAAGAGAGAGAGAGAGAGAGACTGCGATGCATCGTACGTCGGACAGACTTGCAGACTTTTAAAAACCAGAATTAACGAACATTACCGCCATATTGTATGTATACACAACAACATTCGGTGATTACGGATCATAGACAATTAGGCCACGAATTTAATTGGACTAAAATTAATATCTTGGATGACGAACCGATTTTAGGGAAAAGATATCTGAAATGATTTATATCAAACGCCAAAAGAACACTTTAAATGTACAAAACGATACAGATCAATTAGACAAAAAATATTTTCCAATAATAGACAACATGGAAAAAATTTAAGTTTCTACGATATTATGTTTATTGTCTATACTTCGATCGTTAACCTTGTGCCTTGAAAAATCACACGTTAGTAATATCGTCACTGTTGACAAGTGCGGCTCGCTCGACATTATTCTTATTTGTTTAAGTACGTACGTTCACTTCTATATTCCTTTTATATTGATATCTTATTATTTATAATTTTGTTACACAGTTACTGAAGATGGTCCAAATTGCGGACCGAAACGTTTAATAAATATAATTCACATGAGATTCACAGAATTATACAATTTGGCGCCCTTCACCCAGCGCATCGGCTCTTATAGTTGCCCGTCTCATCATTCGTTAATATTATTTTATATTTAGAGCCTACTATACTAAGTTATTTGTTAATAATATAAATATTTTTTGATGGTTAAAAGGGGATTTAATCCATTATTTTAATGTTTTTAAAAATATTTTTAAAAATGTTTTTCGAAAATTTTTAAGAATATTTTCAAAAATATTGTCTGTTTATATATAATATATATTTAGTTTATTATAAGATATATATAAATTAAGTTAGTAAATTAGATTATATATATGTATAATATTGTGATAGAGACAGAGTATAGTAAATATTGATATATCGCACGCACACATACACACACACATACACTTATTGAAGAGAAGGGAAAGCAGTGTTCTAGAAAGTGCAACGAACAGACGTGTGTAGAGTGTAGTGCAAAAAATAGTAAACATAAATTTTGTCAACATGAATTTAGAATTATTAGGTGAATATTACATTGATTAAATTAGTTTTCTCACAAAATACACGTGGTAAATAATAATGAGATCAATTATCATAGAGTTCATAATTGTTTTAGATGTGCATTTAATCGTAAATATTCGGAAAATGATAAAATTTTTTATTTGCAATATTGTAATTTTCACTTCTCTCAATATAAATTTTATTTGTAACTCTTAATAGAAAGAAAGACAGTAAAGCTTTAAGTTTTTGCAATTATTTCTCTCGTATACGTTTTAGTATAGGTTATAATATAATTCAATATTTATGTTTTCACAGAATCATTTGGACAAAACTATCCAGAGGTGTGGATCCTACTTTAATACTACTTTTATTAATAAAATAATGAGTAATATCAACGTTGTATTTTTAATAATTATTTTTTTTAGGAATTTGATGGCACGTTAGATTGTATATCTCTTGCTGTAACATGTACATTTAATAAGAGAGGGACACTACTTGCCGTTGGATGTAATGATGGAAGAATTGTAATCTGGGATTTTTTGACTCGTGGTATAGCTAAAATTATTAGTGCCCATGTACATCCTGTTTGTTCATTGAGGTAAGTTATATACAGTTTACAAGAATCTAGAGCAATTTTGGTATATGTGTAAGTGTTTGAGACAGTTACTTGTGAGAGTATATAAAAAATTATTAATAAAAGAAGTGATTTGATTCAAAAGGAATATAAAGAAATTGAATATTTTGAAAAAGATTAAATATTAAAGCATACTAAATTTATTTTGTATCTTTTAGTTGGTCTAGAAATGGTCATAAGTTGTTAAGTGCTTCTACAGATAATAATGTATGTATATGGGATGTTCTATCGGGAGAATGTGATCAGAAATACAGATTTCCTTCTCCGATACTGAAAGTGCAGTTTCATCCAAGAAATCTCAACAAATTTCTGGTATGTCCAATGCGTCATGCCGCTGTTATGGTCGATGTTGAAGGAACACATAGAGTTATACCACTTGATGAAGATGTATGTATTATATGATGTACATATTGTGTATTCAATCTTAATAATATCCTAATAACTCTTTACACACATACTTGAAAATGAAAATAACATTGGTAAAAACAATATTATTTTAATTTCAGAGTGATTTAAACATAGTAGCATCATTTGATAGACGCGGGGACTTTGTATACACAGGGAATGCTCGTGGTAGAGTCTTAGTTTTAGATGCTGAGACGTTAACCGTGAAAGCTTCTTACAAAATAACACAGGGTACAGCTAGTAATACAGCAGTGAAGAGTATAGAATTTGCACGACGAGGCTCCTGTTTTTTAGTTAATACATCTGATAGAGTAATACGTGTATATGACAGTACTGAAATATTAGCATGTGGCAAGGATGGTGAACCTGAACCAATTCAAAAATTGCAAGATCTTGTAAATAAAACCATGTGGAAAAAATGTTGCTTTTCGGGTGATGGAGAATATGTGTGCGCTGGTTCGGCAAGACAACATGCATTGTATGTGTGGGAGAAAAGTATTGGAAATTTAGTGAAAATTTTACACGGAACTAAGGGCGAGCTTTTGCTTGATGTTGTAGTAAGAAAATGAATTGAATTTACACTTGTTATAATTTTTTTTAAGTCTTTAACTAAAATATGGTATAATAAGTATTCAACATATACGTAATATAATGTACTATTCTTTTTCTACGATAGTGGCATCCAGTGAGACCAATAATTGCATCCATATCATCAGGCGTAGTTTCTATTTGGGCACAAAACCAGGTGGAGAATTGGTCTGCATTTGCACCAGATTTCAAGGAATTGGATGAAAATGTTGAATACGAGGAAAGGGAAAGCGAATTTGATTTGAGTGATGAAGATAAGTCTGTGGTACAAGGAGAAGAGGCACAGGATGAAGAAATAGAGGTTGACGTCGCATCGATTGACAGAGTTGCTGCGTTTTGTAGCTCTGATGAGGAAACTGAAGATATTGGTTCTCTTCAATTTCTACCTATATCCCCAGATGTGGAAGATTCTGAAGATAATCAAGTGACACCACATGAAGTGCCATTAAAGAAACATCGTTCACATGATATAGATTTACAGGGGGCACCAATTGATGGTAAGATATTGCTGACATAAGATAATTATGTTTAGAAGATTATAAATATACTAACTTAATTTTATACTGATACCGATATAATTTATAGAAACTCATCCCTTGTTAAACAAAGGAAAGGATAAACCAACCACAAAGAAGGGAAGGCCAAGATTAGAACATAAAAAGGGAAAATGATTTAATATATAAAATATTGATAACAATTAAAAATTGAATATTTATAGCAAAAAGTATATAGGAGATTGTTTTGATGAATTGTAAAATTGTACAAAAAATGTAAAATTGATTACAAATGAATGAATGAATATGTGTGCAAGTATAATTTATATAATTTTACAATAACTTTACATATTGCAAGTTATTTTCTTTAAATAATAAAGCTATAATTTGCGATATAAATAATTTTGTCTTAGCTTATGTTTATTTCAAAAAATTAATTATTTTAAAATATTTTCTTGATTTTCTGTAATTTGATATATTCAAATCCGCGAATATACAAGAGTAAGATATTTGTTTGGCAATTCACAAAAGAGATGGCACTACGAAGAAAAAAAATGTAAAGGATAAATTTCCTCTATTTTAAGATTATCAGGATCGAGTATTTTCTTTATTCTAAGCTCTTCTTTCACGCGGTTTCCCTTACTCTATTTATTAAAACTCATTTTACTAGTATATGCGCAGAATAAAAATATTGTGGATTCTATTTCATTCTCTTTTTCGCATGTAATCACACGGAAAAATGCGGGACAGCATGAGCATAGAGGAGAATCCAATTGAAAGAAAACAGATGATTGAAGGTAGAAGAAAATGTAGAATAGAGAATTTTAGAATAGAGGAAGTCGACTATACATTTTTTTATCGGGTCTCTCTCTTCTACTCTATTTGATCTGCTCCTCTTCGATTAGCACATGTAGGTAAATAATTAGACGGGCTCGCGGATCAGACGCCGTTAACCGGGATCGGTAGGAGGTAGGAGGACTGTCATTGAATGGTTAATGTCGTCGCCGTGTTTTACCGTCGCGTACTACATGCGCGCGTTCATTCGCAAGTCATTTACAGCTGTGCGAACAGAACAGTGCCGTTCGTAACGGCCAAGTCAACGGAACAGGTAGTTAATTGACTGATTTTGAGCAGGACACGTGAAGTCGCACGGACGCCAAAATTCTTCCAGATCATGATTCGATCGAGCCTCGTGTTTATGCTCATCGTCGTCATCGCTTCGCATGTTACTACCGGTGAAGATTGTAAGGGATGCGTGCCTTTGGATTCTTACTCGTTCGACAAGGTATGGGAAAAAAAAGCATGAGAAGTATAATCGATAATTTTCGACGCCGAGTAGTATAAATCGAGACTATTTTAACGTAAAAAACTATATGTAATAAAATATATACTCTCTCTCTCTAGATTAATTTCTGATTATATTTCGTTTATGTACATATATATACGAGATTTTTATACGTGATATGTAAAGCGAGAAAATTTTTATCAACGAAACTGACTTACGTGATAAAATTAAATATAGAAATTACGAAATTAATATAGTTATGAAAACCACTTTTATTTTATAAATATACAACATATAATTTAATGAAAAGAAAAAAAGTGTATGTATTTCTTTGCAATTTTATAAAAAATAATGATGAAATATTCGATCGATTTTCACTGCGATTAGCTTTAAAGTTACTATAGTTACGAGCCATCAGCCACGTTGACAAGTTCCATTGTGCTTTGATTCATAAGCATAAGCGTTATTTATTCATAGTAAATCGATTATATTTGGCATGGACGAATCGATTGAGTGTTGAGGTATACATTCCTCTAACAGAATAGAATTTATATCATTGTAATTAATAGTAAATGTATAAATTGTGATCATGAATATATCATAGGTATACAGTTTTATTATCAAAGGGGTCAACATTTTTCGGAAATAAGTTCAAAATCGGATATTTCATTTCGTACTTTATGATTTTTATAGTTTTATGGTATTTTATAATTCTGAAAGGAGAGTGAAATGATTTCAACAAATTAATTTTGAAAACGCGTTAATTATTTTTTTAAATAAAACTGCGATAACATATATATATAGTTATATATATAAGAGTTCAATGAGATTAATAAAACAATATAAAACAGAACACATTTAATTTTTATTTATAACTCTTGGTTGAAAAATTGATGTCTTATTTAAATAATTATTTGAAATGTCTATAATAGCGATGTTTTTATAGCACAGAAGGCATTTTAAACCGACTATTCACTATTTAATTTATTAAAATCGATAAATAATTAATTTTTACAAATTAAATACAAATTTCAATAAAAGCTCTTTCTGTAGAACACAATATATTCGTAATAATCGCTAAAATCGTGACTGCATTTGCAACTATTAAAGCAAGAATAGGCGATAATGTTATCGCTGAACTTTTACGTGTGTACTTTTAAATGTGCCGTAAATGCATTGGATATGCCAAGATATAATTCGATCACTTAAAAAAAGAAAAAAAAAGAAAAGAAAAACAAATATATAATTAAATACATTGATGTCCGCATCCAAACGTATATTTCGTACAACATTTCTCCGATTCCTTTCGCAAGCAATAAATGGTTAAAACGATTTCGATTATTAATATTGTGCACTTATTCGCAATATATTTTCCTAATACATAATTTTGCAATTAAGCGTATTCTTTTGAAGCCGTTTATAGAAAACATTGTTTTTTATGGCCGCAGGTGATTCCCAAATTCAAAGTGGTACTCGTTAAATTCGACGTCGCCTTTCCATATGGTGGCAAGCACGAGCAATACAGCACGGTAGCAGCCGATACCAAGGATTCGCAGGATCTCCTGATAGCCACAGTAGGCGTCAAGGACTTTGGCAATAAAGATAACTCCGATCTAGCGTAACGTTATAATATCAAGAAAGAGGACTTTCCGGTAGTCTTACTATTCGTTCAAGGTAAATCGGAACCGATCAGATTTACCACCGAGAAGGATTCCGATTTCACCGGCGAATATTTGAAGAGATTCGTCAGATCCAAGTCGAGAGTATACTTAGGTCTACCAGGATGCGTGGAACGGTTGGATAAATTAGCCGAGGAATTCAAAGTCGCGAACGAACAGGAGAGACAGGTAATTTAATGCTAACAAAATAAGAACAATATTTATTGAAATATTAGATGAACAGGGCATCATTTTTTGAAAAATAAAAGCTTTGGAAATCTTTTTTTTTCCCCGATTAAGAAAGGAGCAATTACATAACATTAAAAAATATTCTTTCGTTTTTTATATTTTCTAATTTTTCTTGTATGTGACTGTGGCCTAGTTTACACCAATATAATTTAATATATATTAAATACTATACTGGCCAATCACAGCCATTCCATTCTTTGGAGAAATGATTATAATTGGTGTAGTAATTAGTATGTATTAAAATATATCGACGTAAACTAGACCTATATCTATAAATTTAATATATAACAATTACTGTGTTATTAACGAAACAAATGGAGCAATAAAACCAAAAATAAAATAACGATTTAGTAACAAAGAGCATTAAATTCTTTTACATGTTCCATTTGATTATGCTAAAATGCTAAAATGTCAGCTTCATAAATATATGAACTTGAACAAAGAATTAAAATAACCACACATTTATTTGCGATATTACTAAATTTTCTCTCTAAAGAAAATGTACCATTTTTTTTTTTTTTTTTAGGAGATATTAAAGAAAGCAAGGATCTTCGAAGAGACTTTGCCAGAAGAGCAACGGGAGGCTGCAAAAATTTATGTGAAGACTATGGAGAAGATCCTAGAAAAAGGAGATGTATTCGTACAAACGGAAGAAACGCGAGTACGGGGGCTTCTTTATAGAGGAAAATTATCTAATCAGAAGAAACGTACGATGGAAGAGAGACGAAACATCCTACAGTCTTTCTCAGCGAGGGATGAACTGTAGAAAACTAATCAAATTTATTAATGATTGTCCAAATGTCGTCTAATAATTTAGTTTCAATTCGAATATCGATTATTTGCTTTGTAGTGGATTATTTGATATATTTCATCTAATTTTATATAAACGTCAATTGGAATATACACATTTGGACGCTATTCAAAATACCAAAGTATTGTTACACATTCCTTATTGAATTTCTCTGTGATGAAGCATTTCTTGATCATATTTTATACAGTACGATATGTAAAACTATTTGCTATTCATATGATTATTTTTTATAGATGCTTTGTTTCTTTATACAGATACATGATGCAAATGCAAGATAAACCAGGCGATAAATATTAAAAATATAGACTTTTTACATCCAAGAATATACCTGTCTACCTGTCAAATTAAATATTTGAATAAATATAATTGTTTAAGCTTTTTGTTACATGAAAAAAAAAAGTAAAAAATTAAAATTTATTGAAAATATTTTCCAAGGAGGAAATATTGTCAGAGAAATCGTAGATTAAGATATTATATTGTTAAGTATGCAACAAGTAAATCAATTTTATATTATAATATACTACTTGTGATTCTTTCAACATACGATTTGATATTCTTAAGACAGACATGGTATGCAATTATTAACTATTAAAAAATGAATGATATAATGCA